CTTAAGAGTTCACTATACAAATCAAGTTTCATAAAATTTTATTCAAATGTCTAGAATTGTAAATTATATAACTCAGTCTTTGCTACTACTCCCTTATTATAATATTTGTGACATAAGGGCAAAAGCAACAAACTGAGAGTCCATTGTAACTTTAACTCGCTGAAAATACTTTTCTACCTGAAAATTAAATATCATTGAAAAGATCTTTTTCAAGTGTTTATGTGCCGGTTTTTGGTTGAAAAGAAAGTTACATTTTTGTTTTGTTATATTTATTCTGATTGCTCTTTCTTCATTGCATTTAAAAACTGTGCTTTTAACCTTAGTTCAATTCTCAATGGAATTCAGTAATTTTGAGACTTATTTAACTATTCCAATTCCTGCAAGATCACTGTAACTGAACATGTAAAACATATGGTTTTAAAACAATAATTCCGGGCCCTAAACATTCCCAGCTTATTTACAAATTTTTCAAGCAGAAAAGAAGGATTTTTTTTATATACAAACATGCACTTCCCAGAGTGAATGGATTAAATATTATTGCCACCTATTTAGAAATCACACTGTCTCTCTTTTTTTAAAGCAGGACCACGTTTAATTCTTCCTGCATTCCCTTGCATACAAATACTCTTCCCCCAAGCTGTCAGAAAGCATCAGACTGCCTGATCTGCACAGTGAATTTTAAAATCTTCTGAGAAACACAAGGACATTTGCTTCAGGCACTGATTTCATCATCACCATCATAAACAATAAGAATAAAGCAACTCAAGCTCTGGTATTTAAACTAAAGCTAGAAGATGACGGTACTTTGAAGATGGTTAGTAGAATTTTAATCACCTAAATTAGTTTGGATCCATTTTTCAAGCCAAGATATTTCACAGTTGAGCAATCATTTCTTTATTGTCTGTGACCCCTCCTAGATGGCCCCAAAGTAAGAATGTGACTCTCTAACATGAGGTTTATAAAATGCAAACAGTATAAGATTTATTTGTAAATAAATTACACTGTTAGATGAAAATGTTTTGATCACTAATGTGACGATGGTATCTTTAATATTTAATAGCAACTTTAATTCTTGTGCTCCCTATGAAATGCAACTACAATATCAATTCCACCTACCAACATCCTGATAAATAATAGATGTGGGAAATTGGGAGGTTTTCTAAGATGTATTTGGATCTTATGCTAATAAAGCCATATCCTTCAAATGACGTGAGCCATAGTACCATTAACATCACCAGGACTATCTCTATATTTAGTTTTTCATGATAGCTACTTAAGAGTTAAAGACCACAGTGATTGGTGCTTTTCTAGATTCATTGTTATAGATAAACAAAATTTTATTTGAAATTTGGTCCAATTGTGCTTTTGAGTTTAAAGCCAAATTTAAATGAAGTTTGTTGGGGATTAAAACAAACAAGCAAATATAAAATCCAGCTCTGTCCTTAGCCAGTAAAATGGAATATAATTACTTCATTCAGTCAGAAGCTGTGACTAAGTGAGTCCAATTGAAATGCAGGGTAAGTGGGTTTCTGAATTCTTAAATTATTGAAAAAGGAATGCAAGGTCCTGCAGTTCAAAAAATAGAAATATATTATCTTTTTTTCAGGGAGTCCAGGATACCCATTAATCCCTCTGGCAAAAAGTGATATATACAAAGGTTTTACCTTTAAAATAAATGAACTAACCCTTCAGTTGTTAGCTGCTGCTACAGATTGACGCTGCATACTTCATCTCGCCTACTTTTCATTGTAACATTTTCACGTTATCACAAGTAGCATTATGTCATCAAGACAAACCAATTTCCTTCATGTAAATGTAAAACAGCATGTTTGCTGTAAGACGTTTCCATCAATGTCAGTGACATACATGGAAAGTCTCAACAGTCTGCCCTGTCACTTACTTACAGAAAGGAGAAGTAAAATGTTCTTTCAAACTAAAATTGAATTCTCTGCCCACTATTTCATTTAGCTCATTGAATTTGTTCATAAATTCATCAGTGGCACTGTCCCACAGCCACAAAAAGGCAATAAGAAATGAGAAGCCAATTACATTTACCAAAAGATAGATTCATTCTAGTTATAAGAGATACTGACATAAAAGATACAGCCATGTCTTTCACTTGATGATTTGTGTCCCTCTACTTAGTAGTCAGGCTTGTCACTGAATCATCAAAGAGCCCTGTGGTCTAGTAGAGAGGTAGACTCTAGGGATCTACATTAAAGTCCTCCGCCACCAGTTCACATTTAGATTCTTGTCAAATTACTCTCCTTGGGCCTTAGTCTCCACATCTGCAAAATAAGGGAGTCAGCCTAGATGCTCTTGAAAGTCCTCCTGGTTCTCATAGTCTGAATTCAAAAGGAAGTTTGACTATTTACTGTTGTTTTTGTCTCAGTTATATACAGAGCATTAGATCCTCTTAAAAGCACTAACATGAGTTTTCTTCTTCAATCTGCCCAACTTTATAAAATAATTAATAAAGTGTTGAGTTTGTGATCAGGCTAAAAGTAACCCATAGTGATAGATAGTCCTCCGTAGTGTATATTGCCATTTATTCTTTACCCTCAAGGAATGGCTCTGATTACACACTCAATTACAAGTTGTTCAATGATGCATAACACCATTCCCTTCCAGAGAAGTATTGACAAAGGTTTCCTTCAAAACCCTTGAAAATTCATAAAGAAAAGTACATCAACAGCACAACAGGAAAAAAACTAATCAAAACTTTTCAGTTGCCCTCTCTAATAGCCTAAGTCTTCTCTGACCACAGTGGATATGTATGTATTTTCTCCTCTCCAGACTAGAGTAATGGTGGTGAAGTGGAGCAGTTATAACCACATGTCAAAATAGTTATTAAAAAATAAAATCACTCTCCACCATAACTGTTAACCTTCCAGGGAACTGTTCAGATGCTCAGAACAACTGCCTGACCTATAATTTTTCAAACCTTCCTAAACCACCAGAACATCACTTTCATCTGGAAAGCATCTTGAGCCATAATTGTAAGGCCTGATGGTGTTTAAATGAACATTATAGGTACTTTGTGAATTCAGAACCTATAGAAATCAATAAGTGTCTTGCATAGAGAAGTCCTGCATAGGTTTTTCCAGGAGAGGGCCAATTTGTAGAAAGTCATAGACACCAAGGAGGTTGTAAGCAGGCTGAAGATTTAAAAAATATATATCACAGGGGTGTGGAACACACTGCACCGCACTGCTAGATGAGGGAATATCTCAAAGATATAGAGTTTTAAACTGATGATTTTTTTAGAAGTGGCTAAAGGGGAAAAAAAAAAGATTGAGAAATAGTAGGCAGTTCCTGCAGTGCTCTAGGACTTGAAAAAGAAGAGCTCTCCCAAGTACACAGAAAGGGTTTGAATAGTGCTCCCAAGGATCTTGAATGTAAACATGTATTGTTGCTTGTCTAAGGTTAAGAATATCTAGTGAACTAATTCTCTCCAGCTTTTAAGATTTGTCAGAAATTAATTCATTCAGTCAATAAAAAACCTGCAAGCATCATCCAGTGCTCAGAACCCTTCTAGGCATCACAGGTAACGGCTCAGTGGAAGAGGCAGTATCAGTGCCATCCACAAGGTTACAGTCACTTGGAGGGAGGGGTGAAGAGGCTTTAGACAAATCCCAAACAAAACTTATCCTCTGAAATTCCACTCTCTGGCCATAACCTTTCCATGTAAACTGGAGAATCATATCCTCAGAACAGCTCTTGTGTTCTCCCTTCTCCCAAGTGTTCTTTTATCTCCTCCTTACTTTTTAATACTTTCTAAAAGTTCCAAATAAAAAAGATTCTACTTCAGTCAAGAGATACTATATTTTTATTCTAAATTTTTCTAACAATGATGAAGGAGAATTACGAATACCTAATAAAATTTTAAATCCCGGGGGAGAAAGAAGAGGATTAAAAACAGGATCTCATGTCACAGAACTACATTGGATGAACTTTAGTATGAATTTTTTTTTTTCTTTTTTTTTTTTTTGAGATGAAGTCTCACTCTGTCTCCAGGCTGGAGTGCAATGTCACGATCTCAGCTTACTACAACCTCCGCCTCCTGGGTTCAAGCGATTCTCAAGCCTCAGCCTCCTGAGTAGCTGGGATTGCAGGTGCCAAACACCTTTTATGTTGGATAATTTTTACCTTTACTCATGGAATACAACATTAAAAGGATGTTTACACCCCTCATCTCATGAGGGATGGGTGAAGGCAAGGGGCTTTCACTTCATTTAATTTTGTTTTGCATGTTAACTCTTCTAAAATATAATTTTGAGATTCCTTTTCCCTTAATAATTGAGGTTAAATGAGCACAGAGCTGTTGGAAAAGGATCACCTAGTTCACAGCGTTCATTTGGGCATCTGTTACAAGGAATGCAATTTGAAAATGGGTAGAATTTTAAGTCAGAACGTATCATACTAAGCTAGATGGTGTTATTCACATGAACTTCCTGGGAGAAGTATATACATGAAGAAAGCTGCCCTTACTCAAGTGCATGAACCAGGCCTTCAGTCTGAGTTTTACCTGTGTCCAACTATAGGATTTCAAGGCTTTCAAGGCCTTAATTTCACATAAGCAATCTTTTTAAAAACAAACATCATTTTCTCATCTAGGAAGTAAATGTATTACATTCAGCACTATAAATATTCTGCAACTCGTTGACCATGCTACAGCAGTTCAAAATGGCTTAACTGATTAGATTTCAAAAGATAGATTTATTTCAGCAAGCTGAAGACACACATTAAATTATTTTCAGTTGCTGTCTGCTTACCTCTGATTTGACTCATTTCTGCCTCCTGTATTCTCACTCCACAGAAATGAGTAGAAGTATGTTGCTGAAGTCTAATGAACCAAAATTATTTCATATGTTACAAATAATTTGGTATGATGAAGAACTTAAGAGCAGATACAAGCCAGTGAATAAAGCTAAAGCCCCCAAGAATGGGCCATGCAACACAATTTAGAGCACAACTGAAACAGAGCTTTAGATACTCACTGGTTAAATTATTAAAAGTGAACAGATTGACACTATCAACACTCTCAGCACTGTCACAGCTGAAAACTTCATCATCTGATTCCTGCACAGAAGAGCAGGGTGAGGAGCCATCGACTTCTTCAAACTTCCCCTTTAAAATTCCACTCATAGCTGCAGCACTGTCACATGTATCTGTAGCAGGAATGGGAGCAATGGAGCATTGAAATATTTGGCTGCTGACTGCATAGTCAAAGTCTCAAAGTCATTGGAGGGGGCTGCAAATTTTTGAACCACGCATACCACATTATCATATTCATGCAGAAATTATTCTTCCCATAATGTTGGAAAGCACTGAAGACAATTCCACCGAGCCGTTATTTTCATTCTCATTCTGACAACAGTGTCTTGTAAGAAAAAGTAAAAATTAAAAATACGAATACATTTGCTGTATAAGGAAATATGGCTTAGTGTTTTGAAACATCAAAATAGGAGTCAAATACACTTATTTGATTTGTTCTAGTAAATTGTGTACTGCCAATGACAGAGTCAGAGTTCAGAACAAAATAGATCACTCACTTGCATGCTGTCATATCCAGAGCATACAGATGAGGGTATGTCTGTCTTGCTTGGGATTTCTTTTTTTCTCAGGTATAAAGGCATCTACTTTCCTGGGGCTCTTTGTCCATCAAAAATCAAATTGGTTGCTAGGAATGGTGATACCTACAGAATTTAGATGCCTTATCATGTTTTCAGTCAATTTAGCAGAGCTACAGGGAATACTTGAGTCCTATGTCAAGGAGGCTGGCTGAATAGATTTTATACATGGTAAACCAGAGTCCCTAAATCTTTTATCGAATAAAATATTAATTTAAATCTCTTCGCTCTCTGTATCAACATGGTCAGCGAAAGCCAGTCATATGTAGCCTGATAACATTTCTTAAAATTTGTTTATGTCAATTTAGATGAATCACTAAACCTCTGAGAGTAGCAATTTCTTCATAGCTATATAGAGAAACAGTGAAAGCAATGGTGGGTTGCAAATAAAATTTCCTACAGTGATAGGTAACCTTGATAAGTAAGTTGAGGTAAACATAATAAAATCATAAAGTCACCTTAGTTTTCTCTTTTGTCTACTGTTATTTGCAACAAGGATACCGAGAAACACTTTACCTGAAGGAAAAAGATAGTATAAGTACAATAATAAAGGGCTTCTTATTCAAGGAGACAGCAGGTAGTAAGAAGTATGACCTGTGGAAGCCAGAGAAAGCATGCTCAGGCCAAAGTGTAAAGCTGTTACTTGGGTACGGGTTATTTTGCTCCGTGCTTTCCTTATTTAATCTCCTCTAACTCTGGGCAACGCCCCATTTATATTCAGAATCTGCATTTTTCTTTCTCTTGTTAATTTTGTTTACAAAGCCAAAGAAGCAATTTTTAGTTTGCATTGTAATTTTAATCCCAACTTGAACTGGCTCTACAAGATAGCACAAGATTGGTTTAGATATATAACTTGGAAGGATTAACAAACTAGGGAATCAAAATAGTCTCTTCCCCATCAGCTCAACCCACTATCTGAAATGCTCTTGAATAGAGATGCATCAGTTGGGGGAACAAACTTATTTTACAAAAGACACCTGTACAATATATGATATCAAGGAGAGGTGACATCAAACACCAGCATGGCAGTCCTATCTATGCCTTTCTGGTAGTAAGAATCAAGTCTGGAGTGACTTTTTTATTTTTAAGAAAGTAGCAAACTAAGGACTAACTACCCTCCTTGTGTCACTTGTGGACGTCATGCTCATCCTTGATTTTGGTAGCTGAAATTCCTTGGGGCATATTTATTCCAGGTCTTTCTGTTGACTGGCTTCCTCTGTTTCTGTATTTTCTGCTTCCTCATATCCCCAGCTTATAGATGGCTTTGGCTTCTAAGAGACTTACTTCTACCTTATCATATCATCGTGTTCTGCCAGCCTCCACACTGAACACCAATGACTCCTTTTTTTTTTTTTTTAAGGGAATTTGAGTATCATTCTTTGGTCATTTATGCTATTACATAGAAAAGGGATCTATTTTGCTGTCATTTGTTTAAGGGCCATTCATTATTCAGTAAACATCTATTGAGCTTTTATTATGTTCCAGTGACTATTTTAGATGCTGGGGAGTGATAAAGAAGCAACATCGAAGTTTGTTTTGTTCTTTTATTTATTTATTTTACTCTAATGGTACTTATTTACTGGGTGTTACTAGGGGAAGGGGTAGACAAATAAGAAGAAGAAACAGATAAATTAAATATATAAACATCATATGGAGGTGAATGCTATTGAGAAAAATAAGCCATTAAGTGACATGGTGACTACAGAGTTGACTGAGCAAGAACATTCCATCTTTAGTTGATCGGTGAACTAATGTCACTCCACCAAGAGGTAATAACATGAAGGAAGTGAGGAAACCAACAATGTGGGCTTCTTAGTGAAGAGCAGTCCAAGACAAAGGAATGGTGTGTGCCAAAGCCCAAGAGAGGCACAGTGGATGCCAAGGTCAGACAGGTCTTCAGGGCTAGACTGTAGAGAGCCTTTAAGGACTTCGGCTATTTCTCTAAGTGAGGTGAAAGCCACTATGGTTACCTAAAACTACAGGGTTTAAGTAGTGTAGTACCAAGATATGGCTTACATTTTAAAGGGACACCTCATTAGTTTGTTATTTCATCAGAAAACAGAGTGTCTATAGTAAAGAAGGGAGGTTTGATGGGAAAAAGAAAAAATCCATTAGGAAGGATTTAGCCACTCTGATGAGCAGTTACAGTCAGAAAACTAGTCACAGGGCTGAAGAGGTCAATAGTTCTTTTGGGGTGGCAGTTGGAGAATTAGAATTTAGAAAGAAGACAAAGTGGAGGGAAGGTCAAAATCCTTCTAAAAGGATTTTGTTTCTTAATTTCACCTAGGACCACCTCTGGTTTCTAGCTTTGTTAATTATTTGATGATAATAAGGAGACACCTTACTATTAGATTTAAAATAGGAATCATCCAGATACTTTGTACTATTTGCGGTGCTACTGTGGCAAAATGACAACAAAAATGTAGTCTTTCTTTTATCATTCTAAATAAATATTTATTTTAATTCGATAGAGAAAAGGCAATATATGGATGGTGATCATTCTCAAGGATTTACTTACTAATGGGAAAAGGGAGGCACGGAGTTAATAACTATTTTATCTACAATTCACCCTAAATTTATTTATTCAAGACTTTTCAAAGTCAAATTACAGCCACTACGTACTACAATAGGGATTGTAGGTCTCTGGCTCTGGGTTGACCCTGTTTGAAAGCCAAGCAGCCTGCATCTTAAAAACTTACCTGTAGGCCTAATGTAACCTTTATTTGTTTAGAGAGAGGCTCATCTTCAAGTGACATTTGGCAGTTTTAGAAATATTGCAGAAAAGCTTTGAAAGACTGAAAGCTATTGTTGATTTTTAAAAATGCTGTTGTGCCTTGTGTTTATTAGCTATAGGAAACTATTTAGAAATTAAGTTGTTTAATTGATTTCTTTAATATAAAATCAATGTAAATAATCTCTGTCAATGTGTTACATTTGCTCATACTTATACTTCTATGCCCTTGAGGTGCTGAAAATTCTTGTACAAAGTCATTAGAGAAAGATTAAATTGTATGATTACATATCTAGGTAAACACAAAAATAAGGTGGAAAAAAAAATCTAAAGCCTAGAAGACTCAGAAAGAGAGAGAGAAAGAGCGAGAGAAAGAGAAATATTGAGGGAGACAGTGAGAGAGAAAAGAATTGTTTTATTCTATTTTGTTTTCAACAATCTAATTCTACTGGAGTACACTCTGGTTGTATTGCTAAAATTGCGATGTTGTAATGATTCCATGGCAATAGAAGCAAGATCATACAGGGAAAGCTAAATCATGAGAGAGAATAAGATGCTACTCCCATTCAGATGTCTGCAGCAATAGATGAGAAGGGAGGAAAACTAAGGGAGAAGACAGTTACTATGAACATTCTTTACTGAGTTTGTCCCATCCACATAGCCAAGCAAAAGTGATCATAAACAATATTTTAAAATCATCCTATAATACAGAATGCTCTTTCTGACAGTATATGGCTGGAAAAAAATTGTTGGCAAACAGAGGGAAGTACAGATGACTTGATTTGTATTTTCTAGCACTGAAAAATTGTATTTGTTGTGCATGTTAGAAGTTAGAAAGAAGTTACTCAATTCTTAAAAGCCCCCTTAAAAGTCCTGTGTTGGTCTAAGGAGATGATACCTTAGTATGCTTTTAAAATAGATCTCCTGTAATCCCAGCATTTTGGGAGGCAGAGGCAGGTGGATCACTTGAGGCCAGGAGTTCAAGACCAGCCTGGACAACATAGTAAAATCCAATCTCTACTAAAAATACAAAAATTAGTTGAGAGTGGTGGTGCATGCCTGTAATCCCAGCTACTTGGGAGGCTGAAGCATAAGAAAAATCGCTGAACTGGGAGGTAGAGGCTGCAGTGAGCCAAGATTGTGCCACTGCACTCTAGGCTAGATGACAGTGGGACTCTGTCTCAAAAATAAAATAAAATAAATAGCTCTAATGAATTATTACTGATTCTATACATAATTATTCATTTTGAGAAGTATATTAAATACAATTTTCTTACTAGCTTTCCTAAGATAAAAATTGTTACAATTGCTGTATTTATCTAATAGAATGTTATAGTCTGAATGGTTCAGCCCCCTAAAATTCATATGTTGAAATCCTGACCCCAAGGTGGTGTTATTAGAGGGTGGAGCTTTGAGGAAATAAGTAAGTCATGAAGGTGGATGGGTGCTGTTGTAAAGGACCCCAGAAGAGATCCCTTGCCCTCTTGCCATATGAGGTTACAGCAAAAACATGGCTGTGTAGAAAGCAGTCCCTCACCAGGCACAGTATCTATCAGCACCTTGATCTTGAACTTCCATCCTCCAGAACTATAAGAAATAAATTTCTGTAGTTTATAGGCCTCTCAGTCTATGATATTTTGTTGTGGTAACCGGAACTGATTAAGACATAGAATAATCAGAGTTTGGATTAAAATATTCAAAATGACAGTTTAGTAACTTTAAACTTAGAGGCTTAAAAGAATGTAAGGAGATTATTAGTATTTAAAAGTAACAATAGAAAATTGTAAGTTACTAATTTTTATGCTGT